TGTACATTTAACATAGTTCTAATTACCCCTGTACGAGGTTCTGTCAAATTAAATGTACATAAAATTTGTACTTTCAGCATAGTTCTATTTTGAATTAAATTAATCACTTAAAATCCATAGCAAAATGAAGCTGTTTTTGCATGGCTCAAAAAAATACACACTGATCCATTGATCAAATACCGTAAACTTTGGAACAATCTCATAACAAACACCACCACAATACCCCTCCCTCTCCCTCTCCCTCTCCCTCTCCCTCCCATGTCTTTCTCTCTATACTGTTCGAACAACCAATCTTTTGTTGTTTGTAAAAACAACCTTAGTTTCCCCTTCAGTTGGGAGAAGAGGAGGGAAAAACAAAACATACACCTCTCCCCTCCTCCTCCTCGTCCCAAATTTCCAATAAAATTATGTAATTTACGAAGAATCACAGCCACCCAATATTTATTTTTTGGTTAGACGGTCGCCGCCGCCGTCGCCGCCGCCAGAATCGTATCTATGAGAAAGCTTCTTCATTCTTTCATTTTCCAAAATGACATGGCATTGGCGCCGGATTTACAGTCGCTCGAATCCTATGTTATATCATTGCCGCCGTCGTCGGCTGTATCTCCGTCAACGTTTAAAGATTCATTATATGGGAATTATGCGAGCTTTTTTATCCCTTCAGTTCTGGTGGCCAGAAGCGGTTTTGATTTAGCCACCGTGGCCATTATCGCCGCCCACCTACTCCTCTCTGTTCTTTCTTTTTTATTCATATTCCACCTCCGCATAAAATCCCGCAGAATGCAGCATTTACAAGATTTCAATTCACTATGGACCGTGAGATTACTCCTTGTAACGTTTGCTTTTCTTTGGGCCGTGAATGAAACCATACGCCTACCAAATGTTCGACGAAAGTACCTCGATCCCTTTTTAACGTTAAATCAACAAACAAATCTGTGTAAATTCCATGTTGTTCTTTCTCTTGGATTCTACGAACCAGGTTTCTTAATCACGCTTCTTTTCTTGGTTAATGTTTCGATCAAGAAAAAAAACCCTTGTCGAATGTGGGCTCTTTTGTGTGTGTCCATGGTGTGTTCCCCCATGACATTGATACAGACAATTCTTGTCTACTTTGCGCCATTGGAGACACAGCTTCCTAAATTCGTGCATGGTAGTTCAATTCTTACAAGTGATATTCAAGGAAACAAAACGATTCTTTGCACATACCCATTTTTCAGTTGTGTTGTCTTTTGGGTATTTGCAATTGTTTATGCATTAGCTTTCTTGTTTTCATGTTGGAGGGTGCTGGACTTTGTGATCAACAAGAGTATTCGTATACGAATCAACGTGCTGTCAGCTGCCGTAATGGTGGCGCTGCCAATACAAATTCTCTGCCTCGGCCTCTCGTGGCTGTGGCTGCCGGAGGAGGACGGGTATGGGTGGGTCGTGTTAGTCATGTTCTTTTGTATCACCACATGCATGGCGGTGGGAGAGATTATATTGATAGTAAAGCCAATCATGGATGCATTGGCGGCCGGGGGTCAGCTTTGCCGGCGTTTCCCCGGTGGGTTCCGCCTGAGGCGGCAGGTGGTGCAAAGAGAACTAGTGAATAATCAAGAAACGGGTCTATAGCGATGGGCTATGAGCCATGATATATGCCAATTAGTGCAGGTCATGGTCCAATTTTTTTCGAATTATTCGAGGACATTGATGTGTTTCATTGATTTTAATTTTTTTGCCCTGCGATCCAATTTGTATAATTTTCCAAATCAATCAGAAGAATCAGAACAATGTAATTAGGAAAAATTTTGTTTTAAATTTGGAAATAGTGAAAGAGAAGAAGAAAACAGAGGAAAAAACTAAACTCAATTTCCAGCTTTTTATTTTTTGTTGATGCTTTGTTCTGAAAATATATTGATGCACTCGTGCAAATGTTGCATTTCACCATAACTTATCAAGGAAATTAAGCAATCTCATTCAAGCAAAAATTTACATAACTCACCCCTTCGGGCCCCTGCCAACACTTTCTCAGTCGAGCCCGTCGCACCGAATTTATCTAGTGCGGTTGACTTCTCTTGTGTGGTTTGCGGGCTA